AAAGAAGAGTACACTGGGGCGATGTGCTCTAACTGATCGGATTTTTTGTTCTCTAACCACTGCTGTAAATTTTCGTCTCTCCACTCTAACCGATCTAGTTTCCCATCTTGAACTTCACAGTCAAGCTTTTCTTCATTATTGTTTCTTTCATCTGCATCTATGCCTTTGTAGTATTGTTCCTTGGCACTGTCGCCGCTGCAAGCCGCCACCCTTGAAGCGGATGAATTTTGCCGCTTTGAAACGTTACACTGCTGTTTTGAAGTGGATCTTTTTATTTCATCCTTTATCACAGGATCTTTAATAAGACGAGAAGCTGCCATTTGTTTTCCAAGAAGAAATCAGAGCCTAGCCTTGGCTAGCTAGCTAGCTCTACATGTAGCTCTTGATCTCGTACTTACGTACGTACGTCATGTAATTTGTACTGTGGGTGTGGTAACCACTCCCGTCGAGTAATAGCATAGATAATCTATTATCTATGGTAATAGCTACCATATACACAAAGTAGATCTTAGTACTGAGCCCAGAGACCAGGGATTGCTGTAGTGCCACAAACTCCTCTTTCTTGTTTACTCAGACTCTTATACCTTATATCTTCATTTCTGCTGATGGGCTTCATTCTCACAAGACTAAGTGGAAACTCATCATTACTGATGAAAATTATAGTTTGTTCTAATAGATCTCATTCATCTTAATGAATCTCATAATAGTAAGTTATAATATTTTTTAACTTTGTCCACACTTTACATGATGAGGCTAATTCATGACAATTATAATTTAGTGATGGGTGATTCCGAGTTCAGAGTATTCGATCCGTCAATTCTGAATAGAATTGCACTCTTATCAAAAGAAAAGTGGGAATCGTTTGAAACAATTTCAAATTAAGCTGCACCCAACCACACCCTTTAATATTAATTATATTTAGTAAACCAGTATTATTTTAATGCATTAATTATTCATTTTTAGTGCTGTAATTGATACCATGTGGTTTTGTGCATGCGCAGATGTAGTACTCAGAATCGGTATTCGATTCCAGTCTCAAAACTATTTGAAATCAGAATTGATTGCAAATTTCTGGATTCGTCCATCTTTATTAATAAAAGGGAGTAGTCAATCTATCATCATGGTTTTAGTGGAGGAAAAGTGCAGTCACTATGCCCACTGTTGAGGCTATTCTTTCTGTCATTCATCCCCGACATCAATAGATCAATGGATGGATGACAGAAAGAATCTATAGTGCCTTGCCTAAACAAACAGTGGGCATGGTGATTGCAAACGATGATTGATCCCTTGTCTATTTAATTTGAAGTCATTCTCTGATTAATAATAGTTTTATGAAGGAGCAGATTTTCTAATTTATAAATTCTAATAAAATGCAACA